GCATCCCCGATGTAATCTGTCGTAGCGGTACATAGTTTAACTAAACGGCAAAATACTAGCAACTGTAGCCATAGCTGAAGGATTTGGGATGGATGGACTTGTTTAATTCGCTTAAGAATAATAATGTTCTGTGTAATTACTTCCCTCTCTAACCTTACACTTTTGTAGTTAGTAGATGCATCTACTTTGAAGAAAGAGGTGGTTGAAGGAGTGGACATCATGGTTGTTAGAGAGCTTACTGGAGGTATTGTTGACTAAATTATGATGAGACATGGATGGTTGATCCTTTTTTCTTGCTGAATTATGTATTTCCAGGTGTTTTCTGATGAAACTTGAAATTTCTACTGCTCTGCATGGCAGGGATTTACTTCGGACAACCTAGGGGTTTTGGTACCAATGACAAGGGAGAGGAAATTGGCTTCAACACTGAAATATATTCGGTTTCTGAGGTGATGCACTGTTCCTCAGACATTTCAGACTGCGTGATTGTCCTTGCTGTCACACCAAGACATAAGCATGAGTAGACCTGCCAATTGTTTTTATTTCACTGTTTCTTTCCTCTATGATGATGCCAAGATGTGTTTTCGTGAAGAATGTGTAATTGAATTAAGAACTATTGTTTGATACGACTGTTACTGAATAGTGCATTACTTAGGAACTAATTTTTTAAACGACTCTATCCCCAGATTGACCGTATTGCACGTGTTGCATTTGAGGTTGCCCGCAAGAGAGGAGGGAAACTATGCTCGGTGGACAAAGCGAATGTTCTTGAGGTACTTAAGTATATAAACCCCAAACATGTTCTTGATTTGTTCGACTTGTATGGAAATTGGAACTGATCCATGGAGTTATATTGAGGAACACCATGATATTTAATGTCTATACAACTATCTTGGATATTTAGTTGGATATAACGATTATGAACTATCATTTTTCTGATGCTAGAATCCTCTTCACTGTATAAGCTTATAGTTCTGAGTATATTATTTCACATAGCTAAAGCTAATATAAAATTTTGATCTAATATTGTTTTAGGCATCTATGCTTTGGAGGAAGAGGGTAACTGCAATAGCTTCTGAATTCCCTGACGTTGAGCTGTCACACATGTATGTTGATAATGCTTCGATGCAGCTTGTTTGGAATCCTAAACAGGTTTGTTTCTTTGTATGCAATTGATTTCATGCCGATTCGAGCAGGATGAGCATGTGCTGACCTACTGAATTCCCTGCATCATCACAGTTTGACACAATTGTGACGAACAATAGTTATGGTGACATGTTGTCGGACGAAGCATCCATGATCACAGGAAGCATTGGAATGCTCCCATCTGCTAGTGTTGGTGAATCGGTAATAGAGGGAGGCCACATTAAATTGCTTGCAAGCGCTCATATTGTTCTGCTGAGAATGCTAGAAGAAGGCACTGAAGGATCTTGTTTTCCTTTGCAGGGACCGGGTCTATTCGAACCTATCCATGGATCTGCCCCTGACATTGCTGGGCAGGTTGGTTGATATAGCTTCTACTTGCAGAACATCTTTTGTGTGCAGAACAAGGCAACTCCATGAGCTTTTAATGTGCAACTCTGTTTGAAGTTCTGATTCCTCCTACTATTTGTTGAGTGCAGGACAAGGCAAACCCGTTAGCTACAATTCTTAGTGCTGCGATGCTACTGAAATATGGCCTCGGTGCTGAAAATGCTGCCAAGAGAATCGAAACCGCGGTTACGGAGACGTTGGACAGTGGGTTCCGAACAGGGGACATATATTCTCCTGGAACGGTAAGATCATTTTATGCAACATTATCAATGGATGTCATGTCTGCATGTGGTCATTGCTACATTTACGTCGAAGAAGTTCAATGCCTACTAAAGCTACTTTGTATCTGCTGCCAAGCAAATAATAAAACCTTCGTTCACTTAGCAAAGTCTGTAGTTCTCCTGGAATGATTGGTAGTCATGTTCAGTATTGCAAGCACTGCTTTTCGAACATCTCACACTTCCCTCTTTTTTCGGAACATTTTTTTTGCGGGTGCGCTCTTTTTTCGAAGCTTACGTGGTCATGCTGTTCTTCTGTTTGGTTGCAGACATTGGTCGGATGTAAGCGAATGGGCGAGGAGGTCCTGAAGGCTCTCGACTCGCAGAAGTAAACCAACCGGGGGCCACCGATTTGATCAGTGTACCCAGGGTAGAAAGAAGCCTGCGATGTGGGATGGTCGAAACTCGAAAGCCCACATAGATAGATTTGATCCGGCCGAAGTGTGATTTTGATTTATTTATTTTTTAGTAGCGGGAATTGGGCAGATATGTGTTGCACCTTTCTTTTTCTTTTGTCGATTGATTTTTTTTCCATGATGAATAAAAATGGGAATCGGTCCCCTTTTACCTGGCTGAAAAGGAGTTATTTTCACAAGTCAAAAAATTATATTGGAATTGTTATTTCTCATCTACTCACTCCGTTCCTAAATATAAGTCTTTGTTGAGATTTCACTATGGACCACATACGAAGCAAAATGAGTGAATCTATACTTTAAAATGCATCTATATACATCCGTATGTGGTCCATAGTGAAATCTCTACAAAGACTTATATTTAGGAACGGAGGGAGTAGATGAGAAATAACAAAGTTTCATCCAACTCCTACACTATTTGATTTGGGGAGCGCTACGCGTCTACCGGTAGACGTCTAGTAAACATCCACCACCTCGACAGCCGTCGGATCTCCACGCATGAGCCGTCCGATCTAAGTCCTCGCACGCGGCTCGTTGCCTTCCCAACACATTAATTTCTGAAACAACAAACCAGTTGCAGAAACAACGGCCGCATTGCTGAAACAATGATCATGTTGCATAAACAATTCCTGAAACAACGGCCGCGTTGCAGAAGCAATTCCTGAAACAACGGCTGCATTGCAGAAACAACTACCATGTTGCAAAAATTTGAAGATTGCAGAAACAATTCCTGAAACAACGGCCGCGTTGCAGAAACAATTTCTGAAACAACGGTTGCGTTGCAGAAACAACTACCATGTTGCTTCCGTCGAATGGTGGTGAGGGAGGAGCGACGACAAGCTCACCTCACCGGCGAGGTGGCGCACCACACGCGGCCGACCGTCATGGTGGAAGCGGGTGACAACGGCGACGACGGTGTGAGGCCTAGCTGCAACGGCGCATCGCCGCGGCGACCGGTGACGACGGCAAAGGCCTGCCTAGGCGGTGAGGATGGCTGCCAGCATGTGGCGGTGGCGAGTAAGGGCACACTCATGGTGCAGACGACCATCTCGCTTGGCACCGCTGATTCCAGGAAGGAGATTGAGGAGATGAGGATAAGGTACGAGCCATGGTTGTTGCAAAGAATCTGCTGGTGCGGTCCATAGGGAACACGTGGCAAGCAATGGAGGGGGCGGACGCAAACGTGATTATCCGCCGGGTGATGTGTAACGTTTCCCATTTGATTAACCAAAAAAAAAAACTCTCACGAATCTTCACGTAAAATCCAACGGTGTGCGAGTTAGAAGAGACATAATTATTTCTCGTCGATGAGAGCTGCCACGCACAAAAATATATATTGAGCATCATTTTTGGAAGATGTGTCCATACCCGGACCATTTATTAGCAGAACTGCAGATTTCCCTCAAAAAAAAAAGCAGAACTGCAGAAGAATAATCTGATGAGTAGATAATAAATTGTCCAAAAAAAAGAGGGTAGGTAACAAATCCGGAATTGAGTTTAGCAAAAAAGAAATAGAAAAAGAAAGGGTAATTCCGACTTGCCGGATTCGAACCAGCGACCTAAGGATTTATCTGCAACACTACAGTCCTCCGCTCTACCAACTGAGCTAAAGTCGGCTTGTGATAGTTCTCTTACGTTAGGTTATATATGCCCATAGTTTGGAGCGCTTGAGCAATCCCGTGGAACTTCCCCGGCGAGAAGTTGAACTTGGCCCATTCCTTCTTTTTTTCAGAAGAAGGAAGAACCATGTATTCATTCATAATAGTAGCAACATAAAACATACATGGTTTCTCTACAAAATTCAAACTGAAGAGAAAAAGAAGCTTGGCATCTCAAAGGGACAGTGACAGTGGCAAGTTTTCAATGATTGAATCTTTCATGCCAGCCGAAAGCATGCATCGGCCGACATTGATGCCCAAGACAGGCAGCCGCGGCTCTCCGCCGCCGCCCTTCCACAACAAGGCAGGGTGGCCACACCTATGAGGTGGTCGTCCGGTGTAGGGTTTAGGTTTCTGCTTTTAAGTATTTAGCTAAATAGTTGAAATACCGACTTTTTTATATAAATATGTCCGAACTTGAACGAAATCGGCCGAGTTTGTTTAAATTTTGTTTAAACCCTGTTTGAAATGTTTGCGGATAACGTTGCATGACAGGCTCCCACATCCGTATATACGGACTAACCCGTTCGCCCGCATCCACGGACAGTGTATAATGTATAGTATAAATTATCCTGGAAAGGAGAATTGTTAGGGCGAGATGGAACTTTGTAAAAACTGATACGGAAATTTCTTTCAAATTCAAACAGAGCCAAAAAGAAGCCTCTCGATCATCATGTCAAAGGGATTCTATGTGTGTGATATATATTCACCATTCCGTAACTGGTAGTAGTGTCATCATCATCATCATCCATATAGATATAGGTGGTAAGGTAAGCAGACGGAGGATACGGGGGATGGAGTGCATGGCCAAATCACAAGGCACCATGCATGCACCCGGCAGTCTATCATGTGTGTCAATCAGTACCCACACTAGATATGCCGCCGACGGTAAAATTTCCCCCGTTTCCGTTTCCGTGCATCAAAACTGTACAATTCACTTCAACAGTGAGTGTGTCGTCCTTCCCTTCCCTACGCAGACTGACTGACTGACTGACTTTCCTAGCTAAAACCAACTGATTCTACTAGTAAGTATATATGTATATATATGTCCACCCTCCATGTCGTTTGTTTCGTTTCCTACTCTGCCTGCCTGTGGTAAGCCGCAGCTAGACTTGAGCCTAGTTGAACCTGCGCTTCTTCTTGGTGGGTGTGTCGTGCACCTGCGTCTTCTCCCCGTACATCCTCAGCTGCAGGTTCTCAAACGCCTCCGACACCGCCTCCACCTGCGGCCAAGGTTTCAGGTTATTCAATCGCAATGCAAAGCCAGTGAACGTATGCTGGTAGCAACTGCCCGCATGGTTTCTTCTTCACTCACCAGCTCCGGCTTCTTGGCGTACACCCTCACGATCCTGTCCTGGTTGCACACGGGCAGCAGGTGGCTCACGCGTTCGTCCGTGATCGGGAACTTCTCTTCGCATCCAAAATCCTGGCATCACAACACTTCTACTTAGACCAATGCCAAGGCATAATATGATAACCACCATACATATCCTACATGTGAAGATGATCATAGATACCTTGAAGAACTTGATGCTGTGGAATGGCCGCCATTATGCGTTTAAAAAGAAAAAAAAAGGGCGACTAGTTAGAAGCAGAACTTGGAAGATAAATAACAGGGTGGGACTCATGGGTGTTCAGGCATTCAAAAACCTTTCGAGCGGGTTGTCCTTCCCACGCGTCAAGTCAATCTTGACATTGCTGACCGCCACGTCTTCCTCCTTCAGCAGCACCTTTGAAGTTATCTGAAGACACACAAGGTAAGAGACAGAGAGCTTGCATAGTTAGTTCCAGGGAGGTCAGATAGTTAGCAACCAACTCAAACGAGTCAAGAGCGGGAGACATGAACCTGTGAGCAAACTATGTCCTGTGCAGTTATATTCTTGAAATGGTCCAGTTTATCCTTTGGAACAGAATACTGATTGCAAAACTGCAACTCAAAAGAATTTAACTGAATCAACATATGCAAGACCACAACGTAAAACGGGATGCTGCTCACGATGTAAGTACGGTACAGAACAATATTAAACTCTCCTTGGAGTCTGAAAAGTCGAGTAATCTAGTGTGATATTGGCAAATTAACCCACCCCTAAAATGTTTCTAGAAAATTAGTAATAACATTTGTGGACGCAGTCTCTATAACTATCCAGCACTACACTCGCCTAAACACCTACTTAGGTTGAAAAGGCACCAACTCACATATAAAGCCAAACCAGTCACTGCATCTGCCAACTCAACCCAAGACGCACAAATACCACTATACACAAAGCCTTGACTAAATCGACACGCAGAAACTGGTAATAGTTGCTTGCACTACATGTCATATCAAGTTACACACTGAACAGCATTCAAATAATATTGCACGTGCATAACTGTAAGATCCACAGATTCAGCACAAATAGCTGTTAGAAGCATGTACCGGAAGAGCAGACAATATAATAGAACGATATTACAACTGAAAAGAACTGCTACCTTGTAGAGCTCTCTTCGGCGGATACGTTGAATGATTTCCTTTGCTTTCTTCAGTTCATCATTGGGAGCAGTTTCAATGCTTTTCACGATTGTGTCATCCAACTGGATATCCCAGAGTTGTACAAGTAAGAGGGATAGACCAACAAAAGAAACATTAATGTAACAAAAATAACATTATCTGACACCAAACCTTCCAAAAGTCCTCTGGATCATCTGCGTGCAAAGATATTCCCAAGTACTCATTCGCTTCAACAAGCGCATCCACAAGCATCAGTTCAACAGCCTAACGATTGAAGACTGTTAGAAACAGTTCCATTTATAGAGAAAGAAAGCAATGCACACGAGACTGCAGATAACTGGAACTGGCAACGTGTTTTTGCAGGCATAATGGCTAACATTATAATTGGTGATGCAACTTAAAGGACATACAAAAACAAGAAGGCAATATATTACAGGAGTGCAGATTTCTTATGCATAAACATTTAGCAGTATAAATTGGTGAAGCAACTTAGGACATCCAAAAACGAGATCACGACAGCATAACCATTTTTATTTAAACACGAGAACTTCATCTAAAATTCTAAATACCCTACTATGATGATCATCTACAATACCCTGTTATGAGAACAGTTAACACTGTTGACGGGAAGTCTCAGTGTAATGTAATACAGTCACATGGACTTATGGGTTCTCTTGATGTAACCATGATATGTTGTAATGTAAATAAGGCAATAATGTGCTGGAGTTGGAAAACCCTGAGTATAAAGAACGTGTACCTTTACTTTGGCATGGGTATAGACAGTCCGATGCAGATCAGCACGTGTTGTGAACAATTTGTGGATGCTCAGATCTGTAATTCCAAGTGGGGTATACCAAGTCACGTATTAGATACTTACAGAAAAAAAAACAATGGCAATGGGTCAAATTGATATAGATGACTGTTATATAGTAGACCTACAATCTTTGGCAGGGTAGCATATTTCATCACCCATCACTCGCATACCTTCTAAAAGCCTGCATGAAAAATGGCAATGAACCACATGGTATGATAATTATCATGGTAATAAATGTTAAAAAGACCTCAAGTGAATTTCCCCAAAGAAGACAAGACAGCAATTAGCTTGAGTTTGGTGGCAAGTCGCAAATTTAACACCTTCACAGTGCAACTATTTCAAACGTTCAGCCACAATGATTAATGCATGCCTCACATAAAAGCTTGAGAGATAATGTCTATTTGATCTTAGAAGGCCCTGTATGAACCAGCTAATTATATGAAAACACACTTTTACCTACTGAAAAGCAATACCAAGACAGCGCTATCTTATCAAAGGGAAAGTTAAACATCGTGAGAGAACAGGGTCTAAGTTTCCGCATTACTTTTCCGTATTTTATTATCTTCTAAGAGATCAACGTCTAGCCACAGATATGCTGATGGACAAGTTCTCTCTAAATGCTTATGATCACAAAATCATTGGCATCCTTGTCAGGGCATAAATGTTGCCAACAGTGTATCTGACATTCTTTCATCATCATCATAATATCTTCAATCATGTTAACATTCCTAAACTTCCAATGCGGATCTACGTAATTATTTGGCATTGTCAGTTTGCCCAACAGTGCAGATCTTGGAATGCCTGTGCTCATATTCTCAACAAGGTCATAGGGGCAATTGAGCAAAAGAAAGTTGGCACGTTTGATGGCAAAATATACCTCCAGTGCTGGAAATTGCTCCCAATACCACATGCTCTGCAATCACGGTCAATGTAGTCGAACCTGCATCATTACTCTAGGTTAGGCCATAACCAGATGATGGTATAGACAATGGTAGGCTTATTGACGAAATTTGGAAGCACGATACAAAGAAGGCCCTTACTTGTCAACATCTATACCGTTGCGCCCATTAGCAACAATGTCGTAAAGGAAACGCTTCTCCTTCACACCCTGTGAAGAACCAATCTACATTTAATCAATCTGTTTCAATCAAAATTGGTGATTAAAATAGGAGAGAACAATATACATACTTCTGCTGTGGAGACGTCAGAGCTTGCAACTATCATTTCCTGCAGAAATTTTTGAAGGAGCAGGATATGAATTTAATAACTTAGAACAACACACTGTGCTGTACTATTACAAGCTATGCAGGATACCCTACAAATGAACATCATGCCCGACTGCTCCAGGTTTTTTATTTCATTTTTTTATAACAGTACTACCTAGAGATGGCAGATTGCACAATGAACTGAATTCTGTATGACCCATAAGTAAAATTGCTTCAAAATTGGAAGGATAACTAAGTTGGTGCCACCACAAGTTCTTATATGAAATGCAGTTTACCTTGATAACTTTCAGATAATCAGGTTCAATATCTATTGAGTGTTTATCAACAATGCTGTCCAGAAGCAGTGCAGACATATGTTCATGGGACCTGAATAAGCAAATGAGATTTTATTTATTAAAATGTTAAAGCAAAATCTCCAGATAACTTTAACAGATTAACAGGCATATGGAAACACAGATAAGTGGATGAATAATCATTAACCATGCAATGTTAATATGCTCACACGCATGGCACCTTGACAACTAAAACAAAATGTTGGAGTTGGAAAAGGGAATCACCATGTTGATCCTGGATGAACACGAGGAAGAAACTCATGCTCAAACAGATGACTGAAGGGGCCATGTCCAATGTCATGTAAGAGACCTGAACAGAATTATCTCAAAGATCATTAACAAGCCAAACTTGTTGAGCCACGGTTGAGAAACACCAACCTGCAAGTTTCACAGTTTGCACATCAATGCGGTCAATGCCAAGCTCGTTTCCCTGTTGAGTGAAAAAAAATGCATAAGCTTCTGCATTATAAGTAAACTGTCAGTTGCCAGTGTTCCATGGTACAAACCTGGTACTTCTGAAGATTGTTCATAGCCTCTCCAGCAAGTCTATAAACACCTAATGAATGTTCAAAACGTGTGTGGACAGCCCCGGGAAACACCAGATATGTAAGGCCTGAAAAGCATACAGAGCATGTTACACAAACATCAATGAACTGTAAATTTCATCAGAGTTGGATTACCCATAAAAGAAGCTCACAGCACTCTTCAGTTAAGATTTTTTTTAAGATCATCTAAATCGTACTCCCTCCGTCCGGAATTACTTGTCGCAGAAATTGATAGAAATGGATGCATCTAGAACTAAAATACGTCTAGATACATCCATTTCCGCGACAAGTAAATCGAGATGGAGGGAGTATACAGTAAACACTGTTGCACAAAGAAGTCCATGGTCGCCTGACAAAATTGAAGTAGCAAAGCACTTTCACTGTTCACTAGCACACACAAATACGTAGGATATATGGGACTCCATTTAGATTTCTGACACTCCCAGCAAGATAGAAGGCAAAGTTCCCAATATGGTTTCTCTAGCAAGGGAAGAAAACTCACCAAGCTGTTTCAGATCCCGCAACCTGGATGAAATGATGCAATGAAATGAAAACATAATTAGGCCATCTAGAAAGTTAAATAGGCAAATGTGCAGCAATAATTTGGGAAAACTCAAGTCACCTCTGAAATTCCTCTGTATCGACAAATTCACGGGCCAACTGCACATCAGAGGAAGTAATTGTTATTATTGAAGAAAAGTGAATAGCTAAAGGAACAGAAATTATCAGAGAAAGTGACTCTTATTACAGATGATGAATAGTTGGGAGTAGAAATTATCTAAAGCTTCTATTTCTCAGTATACATACAGAAAACTAGTAATAAAAGTTGAACCATTTTTCCATATATATGAAATAGACAATTAGTGTGATCATTATATACTGACTGATAACTGACCACGCATCCAAGTAACATAAATCATTAATTTATTTTTTTGGACAAGGAAGCAGTAGGTGCAGTGTCCTACTTCTAACGCATACCAGAGCACTGAAGCTTAAAATGGAAAACCAATTGGCCAACAGCAAGAAGACAAGGGCAGTTATGAATGATCATTTAATACTGTAGGACACAGAGAACTCCCAACAGAATCGTCAATGGTTGAACACGTTTAAATAAAGGAATATACAAATATGCAGTATGAGATCCTGTTTTTTGAGGGAAAATGGACGAGTGCTAGTGCCACCGGATACCAGTGCTCAGAAGTGAGTTATTCAAATTCAGAATGCTGAAATGTTAAAACAGGATGCAGATTGCTACTATCCATGGTGGAAAGTACAAGGGCGCAGTATATATAACCTTAAATACAAACTGGTCGAGATCAATAGATCAAACACATTAGGACGGACAGTTACGAATTGCCATAAGCAGAGCAGCAGCTACACCAGACAGCAGTAACTGTAGTGTGGTACAATAAAGGAGCACAAAGAGTAGCCTAGCCAAAAATAGCCATGAAGTGAGATGCTGAAACTGTCCTTTTGGTGCATTGCTAAACTGTTCCACTACTTGGGGGACGCACGTTACAGCCCAAGCACTAATAATAGATAATAAACTGGCCAATGAAAGCATAATACGTTTATTAATTATGAATCCCATGATAACCGTTTATAATACCCATCGCTCTCTCAAGGGGAGGTTGACCTCAGGTCAGGTCAGGTCAGGCAGCAACAATATTCTCATTCTCCGGTGGAGGCAACATAAACAGGTCATACATTAGCACAAGCAAGCAAGCATGGAAAAGGTCCACCGAATTTTAAAAACTGTCGGGCACATGGCGCAGCCTAATTTAAAAAGTGAAGGCACATGCGGCGTATAGCTTACCACCTACAATCAGTCCATACGCCACAACAACACAAACATGCTCCCCAAAATCTGAAGAGGGAAAACTGCGCAGATGCTGCTAATGCATTGGGAACAGATAATCTGGTGGACGGGGACTTGTGCTGTCGTTGCTGTTTGGTCGCGTCGTCGAGCGCAACGAAACGAACTCAGCACATCGACGGCACGAGGCTGAAATCGCAGCGCCCGACGACGAGGAAGCGCAGCAGAATCGAAC